GAAAGAGATTGAACATAAGCAACTAGATAATCATCATTCCATTTCATGACAATACAAGCAGATAGAGATGTGATATTAAGTAAACATCGTTCGATTTCACCAAGTTCAATTCGTTGTCCATGTAATTTAATTTGATAATCTTTTCTTCCTTGATAATGAAGAAGACCATTGTTATCGATTGTAACAAGATCACCTGTTCGATAAAACAATTCACCATCTATGTCAACAAGAGCTTTTGCAGTTAAGTCATCACGTCCAAGATAACCAGCAAATACGCCCACTCCACCTATAAACAATTCTCCTTCTTCTCCGATTGCTACAGGCTGCAAAACAATATCTAGAACCTTGTATTGTTCGTTGGCCACAACTCTACCAAGAGGAATGTTGTTCTCAACAGATATAGTGTCGACACGATGACATATCGACACAATAGTACATTCAGCTGGTGCATATATATTGTGCATGTAATACTTACTCTTAATATGACTTCTGAGGCGGTGAACGAGTTTTAGTGAAAATGGCTCACCTAGAAAGATAAGAGAAAGTTTCATTATGACCTTTATTTTGCTTTACTGACCGCCAATGCAAAGTGATCTCACACATGACAAAGGAGAGTAATTAGATTGTGCCAGAAAGTCACATAAATGATTTAAGAAAGTTGGAACAGGTGCAAGACATGTGATTTGTTTATGTTGCAGTGTGTGAGCAAAATATTCAAAATCCATATTGCCGTAGGGATGTAACATCACAACAGTCGCGCACAAAAGTAAACTACCCATGATTTCCATAACATGTACATCGTATGTCGGAGCACATATTTGTGACACTATGTCTTGCTCGTTTAATACACCAGCATTTTGTATAGAATGCACGAAATTTGTGAAATTTCGATGCCTAGTTTGAGCCTATAACAAAGTGAAAAACTGACATAAATACTTTAGAAAATGCAGAAAACATACTGCTTTGGGTGTCCCAGTAGAACCACTTGTAAAAATAATATACGCGACATCGTCTGGTAATGTGGTAACTTTCGATAGTCGGTTCAAATCAACCACACATTCAGTGACATGGCTCGTTAATACTGAATCTGCATCAAGTGAAACAATGTCATGATCGAGTTTGGTCTTAGTTAGATGATGAATAAGTACAAGATGACTTTGAGTTTGTTGTGTGAGTGCATGCAGACGATGTTGTGGATCTCGAGGTGATAATGGACAATAAACACCACCAG